TAGTTCTTGAGCTCGCAAATCATTTATTAAAATGTAAGATTTTATCAGGTGATAAAGAAGGAGATATTGTTTTCTTGAATCGTATAACACTATATTGTGAAAACATATCCTTTTACTTTTAAAGGAAGACGATTTCAAATAAAATTAGCTTTTGCTATGACAATTAATAAATCTCAAGGACAAACGTTTGATAGAATTGGAATAGATCTTCGTAAAGATGTATTTAACCATGGACAACTTTATGTTGCCTTTTCACGAGTTCGTTCTTGGCAAGCATTACGAATTTATCTTGGTGAACAGCGAGATAATAATTATGTTATATAATTCCTTATATACATAATTTTTATTATTGTTGGTATATTTATATTAAAAAATTATTGGTAAATACATCTGTTACGTCCTGGAGGAGGAGCGCAACTTGGCGCTTGCTTTCGCAAGCTCCGACGTACTTGCAAGTCAGCGGTACAGATCAAGGATCGGAGCGATCTCTTTATCTGACGTGGACGTACGCCGGTGGTCCTTGATTTAGGTCAAGGAACTGAATCCTTTTACCTGGGATAGGACCGTGAGCGACGGTTGAAGGAAGGGAGAATCTTTGTTGAGAATAATTAGTCGGAAATCGTAATTGGATTGCAATTACAAATAATTTGTTTTATTGATGATTAAGCGGAAGTTTATGAAGGACTAAAATTTGTACGATTTATTTATGTATACATATGTGTTGTGTAATTACATGGGTGTAATGATGTGGTGGGTTCTAGCGAGAATTCTTAATTAGTCCGAGGGATATTCGGATAAAGAAAGATCTTGTGTCGGGGTGGCTGGCGGTGAGGGAGAGGATCATCGCGAGGACGCCTCTGAGGGAGAAGGAGAATGAATGGGGATGAGCCCGCGAAGTAACGCCGCGTGGAAACCACGTGTGCCCCCTCGTAACGGTGAGGTCGACGGGGAAGGTGTGGGGGATGGACTTCTAAGGAACGGAGAGGTTGTCGGAGATCGGTTCTCAGTGGGATTCAAGGATGTAGGAGAGTAAGATATGGGAGGGGTTTCAGGAGGAGAATCTGGAAGGAACAATAAGTTCAAGATTTTTGGTTCGTCAGGGCGGACAATATAATCCGGACGATCTTGTAATGAAAAATTTATGAAAGCTACTTCTAAATCCTCGCGGTTTTCGTACTCTCCTGCAGTAGTCAGGTCCGTTTGGATTAGATAATTTTGAGCCACTGCAATTGTATTTTACAGTTAAGGAGGAATGACAAGGGGAATAGAAAAGGAGGTGAAACAAAATTAAAAGAAAAGAGATCACTCAGATGAAAGAAAATATAAATGACTTACTGCTGGACTCTTCTGATCTTAGTAGACAATGAAAGGTGTGGTTGCTGCGTCTCTGTGTGGATAGATGCGTCAAGTTCTGCGCCAAGGACAGGCAGCTGGTTTTGGCAGGATCGCTCTCAATGACCCAAGAAGGCACAAGATCGTTGCACCGAATAATTAACAAGTGAAGAATACTGGCTGGTCTATGCCACAAGTTGGCTTGATTGTTAAGAAAACCCTGGAGGGGGTGCTGGAGAGAAGCGTCTGTCCTGGGTGCTGGATCGGCGAGAAGTGAGTGAGGCTTTTGACTTTTCTCAAAAAGTCAGCTCGGTTGAGAGAGTGGGGTTTTTAGGGGAATGTTCCAGATGATTATTTTATAGGAGATAAGATGCATGTGGCAATAAGAGGATTTCGAAAGACTTTTGTAAATAAAAAAAATCGTGGCAGCTATCTTAAGAAGTAAATATCGATATTTATAAGAACGATGTCGTGATGCTGGTATCAGTGATTAAGTTCGTAGGAAATTAAATAGGGATTAGGTTAAGATTATTAGTATTTTCGGGGTATCAAAATTTCCAGAAATTGTTCGTGTGATAACTTGTGAGATAGGTCGTGTGGAAACATGCCTGAGCGCATTTAGACGTGTAATCAGTAAAAATAAATTCGATTTCTCTTATTTATATAAGAGTTTTGAGGTTCGCTGAGTCAGCATTTTTTTTTTTTTTTTTGACGAGGAGGAAATCCATCATGGATACCCTGACCCTCGGGGAAGGGCCAGGGTTATGCCGGACTCCTACCGGCTAAAACCTCCCCGGGTGGCGCTGCGAAGGGACTTGGGTCGGGGCCCCGGTGCCGCGTAACTGCTAATCGGGGCCCCGAGTCCAGGTTTGCACCTTCTGTCCCTGAGGGGCGGGGCGGGGGGAAGCCGAGGGGGCTCCCAGGGGGGGGGAAGCCGGCCCGAGGGCCCGCTTCGACCACCGTTCCCCTTTCCCACCCCTCACGCCTCGTCTCTTCGGCCGGGGAGGGGGAAGCCGGCCGAGGCCCGCTTCACCACCGTTCCCGACCAAACGAGGCGCCGCCAGTACACGTTGTGTGGCTGACTGACCCACCGTATCAGCCAGCCACCCTATGTTGGGAGGATTAGTTGAGGCACCGGGAGTCCCCGCCCGATGCCCCACCCTCCCGCCCGGCGGTTGCGGGGTGATAAACTCCCCTAGCCGCCGGGCTCTCCCCACCTCCGCGGAGGAATGGGGTGGGGGGTTCTAATGACCCCCCTCCCGCATGTCCGATTTACTTATCGGACCTGCGATTGAGGGGGGGGGAGAGGCATTTATTCCGATGGTTCGTTACCATCGATGCCCTCTCCCCCCCTTATTGTCATCCGACACCCTTTTTTGAGGGTGTTGGTGGTCTGCGGGCGTGGGGCCTGGGCCCGAGCCTCGACCCCCACCCGCTCCCTTCTCCCGTCGCTGCCATTGGTAGGGCAGCGAGGGGTGGCGGCGGCGGCGGTGCCACATCCACCCCAACTGCAGGGGCGGTCAGCGTTGCTACCGCCGCCATCAGTGGGGCAAGCCTACGCAACGCCACCACCGCCACCCCTCTCTCTCTAATGAGGGCTCCTAATTGCCCTCTCCATGTCGTTGTTCCTCTCACTCTCCTCCTTCCTCTCCTTATTGGAGGGGGAGCAGAGGGTGAGGGGGGGAGGAGGCGGTGGTGGCTGAGCCCCCAGCCTCCGAAGTTCCTCCTCCTCCGAGGAGTCTGCGTCCCCCTCTCTGCTCCTGCTCCTCCCTCCCCTCCATTGACGGTGGCGATCCCTCCGTCTCTTCCGCACCCCCCTCCCTTCTGCTCTCCTCCTTTCCTCTTCAGCCTCCTCCTTCTGCTTCATTACACCCTCGCAGAAGGAGGTGAAGGCCTCCCATTTCTCTTCGCTCCCCAGTATCGCCCGGACTATACTGGGGAGCGAAAGGTCGCAACCTAACTTTCTCTCCACGACTCCGCGCTCGTTGCTCCAGGCCGGGCACTCCTGGAGCGTGTGCTGCGCGGAGTCGTGGCCATGCCCGCAATGGTGGCAGGCGGCTGTGCGCTCCTTTCCTATGCGGCACAGATACTCACCGAAGCAGCCATGCCCGGTGAGCACCTGCGCCGCCCTGAAAGTCAGGGCCCCATGGACCCTTCCCACCCACTCGAGTAGGAAGGGTCGGACGGCCTCGACGGTCCTCCTCCCGTACCTGGCATTGGCCAGATACCTCTGCCATCTCTCGAGGAGGATCCGTCGAGTCTGGTGCTTCATCTCTCGAATTGCCCTGGCGAGCGGTACGTCCGCCCCCTCTGTTCTTAGGAGCCCGCGCTTCCTGTCGTACATACGTTTGTACGACAGGGCCACGAGCTCCATAGGGGGCATGCTCGCCAGGACTGTCGCCGCCACGCAGGAGACGGTCCGGTAGCATCTCGCTACCCTGACCGCCAGTCCCCTTTGCACTCTGCGCAACCGCGCTTGCATCGGGCGACTGGCGGCCAGCGACTCGGCCCATACCGGTGCTCCGTACATGGCCTCCGAATTCAATACTCCTGCGTGGAGGCAACGTGCCTTCATGTCTGGCCCCCCGACATTGGGCATTAACCTGCCCAGGTTGATGGAAACCATCCTGATTCGGGGGACCAGCCTGTTAAGGTGTTCTCTGAAGCACCAGGTGCCGTCCAGGGTGAGGCCCAGATACTTCATCTGGGCCTCTATGGGGACCCTGACTTGTCCAATCCTTATATGGGCCTGGGGTGGCTTCATGCCCCGTGCGTGGAGGAAAATCGCCTCCGTCTTCCTTTCCGCCACCACCAGGCCCAAGTTGCGGATGGAGCGCACAACCGCCGCCACCGCTAGATTTGCCGTATGAACAGCCTCCCCCCAGTCTCTCCCCCCGGCCAGGACGAGCGTGTCGTCTGCGTAGCACAGCATGCTACAGCCGGGGGGGAGGGCTGTCCGGAGGACTGAGTCGTATCCTATGTTCCAAAGAAGGGGCCCCAAAACTGATCCTTGCGGGACCCCACGACTCATCCCCCTCTCTCGCACCGCGCCATCGGCGTCCGTCCACATGAGACGCCGACCCCGGAAGTAGTCCTCCACGACGGCCGTGAGGTAGGGTGGGAAGCGGAAATAGCCCCTCATCGCTTGCACCACCCTACCCCAGGGCAGGGTGTTAAACGCATTCGCGATATGCAATGATATCGCGACTGCCACTCCGACACTATGGCTCCCGAGAGGGACTTAAGATGCAGTATCGCATCCACAGTCGATCTGCCCTCTCGGAAGCCATATTGGCCGTCACCTAAATCAGGACCCTCCCGGGACATATGCCTCTTGAGGCGGGCCGCTATTATGCGCTCAAAGAGCTTGCCCGCCTCATCCAGGAGGCATATGGGCCGGTACGCGGAGGGGGAATCCTCCGGCTTGCCCTCTTTTCGGAGGAGGACCACATTGGCCCTCCCCCAGACTGGGGGGAATCTTCGTTCCCTCATGGCCCTTGTAAAAAGGCGCGCGAGCCTGTCGCTCATATACCCTGAGGCCAGGGTGAGGACACGGCCGGGGATACCATCGGGTCCCGGAGCTTTTCTGCTCTTGACCCTCTTGGTAGCCTCGGCCACCTCCTCCTCGGTGACTCCCGGAACCTCCCCCTGATGTTCGGGGGAAGGGGTTACATACGGGGTGATGGGGTTGTCCCCCCAACCGGGAATAGGATCCCCATCACCCGTCCCAGGAGCCGGGAGTCAAGCGTCTCCGTCAGAGGGGGCGCCCATGGTCTCAGCTTTTGCATGACCATCCTGTATGGGCGCCCCCACGGATCCGCGTCTAGCGAGAGGAGAAGGTCGTCCCACCCCTTTCCTCTGGCCACCCCTATGGCGTTCCGGAGTTCTTTGGCGGCTGCGCAGAACTCCCGCCGGGCGGCCAGAGTGACCTCAGGGTCCGCGTCCCAACGCACTGCTCGGAACGCGCGCCTGAGGTGGACCGACCTCCGCCGCAACTCGGCAATTTGGTCGGTCCACCACCAGGCGCATCGTTTTGGGCAGGCCCTGACTCTGGGCATGGAGGCATCGCACGCGAGTGCGAGAACCTGCATAACCTCCATGACCTCAGAGTCAAGGTCCTGCCCGTCCTTCCACTGTGGCCAGGTGGAGCCCATGAGGGAGATCTCAAGGTCCTCCCTGTTTAACTGGGCTAGAGCCCATCTACCGGGCCGGGGTCCATCCGTATTGCGGGGCCGTAGGCCATCGGGGGTGACGGAGAGCTCCATCTCTATTATGAGATGGTCAGACAGTGATTCTAGCTCTTCCGCCACCCTCCAGGTCCGCACCCTTCGCAGGGCCGAGGGGGTTGCCCAAGACAGGTCGATAATAGACTCCCCCCTCGACCCCACGAACGTAGATTTTTTACCGTCATTCATAATGTGCAGACCTAGGCCCACGGCCCAATCCGCTGTTACCTCCCCCCTCCTGTCATCGCGCCGGGAGCCCCATAGCTCCGACTTGGCGTTGAAATCGCCGGCGACGATGACAGGACCCGGGAGATGTCTCTTGATGACATCTCCCATTTCTTGGAGCCTGGACTTGTAATCAACCAAGCCCAGGCTCTTTTCTGGGGGGAGGTATACCCCGACCACGGTGACGACTCCCCACCTGACCACAACAAACCCCCTCCCGCGATCTAAATATTTCGCAGGAGGTGAGTTATTACTCGCCTTCCATACGACAGCGACAGAGCCCCCCTCGTCCCCGAACCATCTTTGGTTCCTGGGGACATGGTGGGGCTCTGCCGCTATACCTAGGCCTGCACCGCGCTCCGTCATTGTGTGCTCAAATAGCGGTAGAGCTTGACGGGTGCGGTGCAGGTTCCCTTGCAATAGTTTATTGTCCATTGTCCGGTTCAGCAATGACCACCACCTTATCTCCCGGCTGCTCGCCGTCGGTATCCTCACTCTCTGCTGGTCTCACTCTCTTCTCTCCCCTTTTCTCCTCCACCTCCATCCTCCCATCTTCAATGGGGATCTGAGGGGGGGGTGGAAGAGGGAGCGAGGTTCTCCTCTTTCTTTGAGGGAGGGGAGGCTGGGACTCCGGCTCCAGTTCCCGATTTGCCCCCTCCTCCCTCTCCTTTCCTTCCTCCTTCTCTTTCCTTATTACCTCTGGGGATGCGGGAGGGTCCCGTGGCGGCGGTGCGGTCGCCATTCTCCCTCTCACCTCATCCCCAGAGACCTTCTTCTTTCCCTTGGGGGGACGGCAGGATGGTCCCCCCATTCTATGTCCCGATTTGACACCGGCCTCCTCACAGATTTGACACCTGGCTCTTGAACTACAGTCCCGAGCCAGGTGTCCGGGTTCTCCGCACCTGTAACAGTTGGCTCTTCTATCGCTGTTACTTGTGCAATTAATCTGCACGTGCCCTCTTTCCAAGCATTTAAAACATTGGAGGGCCCTTGCCTGTAGAAGTTCTACTTTGGCCTGCGTCCAACCTATTTTAATGTTGCCTAATTCGGCAACTTTCTTCGCCGCCGCGAGGGGGCATTGTACCCATAGGTTCTATATGTATTCCACGCCTCCCTCATTTTTCCGGTCTTGACCTCTCCTACTCTACATCCTCCCACTCTGGCCACTACCTCCGCTGCTTCATTCTCCGTGGTTGAAATCTCCATCCCTTTAATTCGCAGCTCTCCCATCTTTTGCGGCCTACTGACTTTTGCTCTGTCAGTCAAAACCTCCTTTAGTTTTTCCGCCAGTAAGTCCGCCTGTTTTCCCCTTTCCTCTCCCGGTATCTCGAGTATCAGGGCTCCGGTAGCCCCCACTCTGGTCTTGATTTTTTCGATCCCAATTCCGGTTAGATCGACTTTCCTTTTCGCCTCCGCTAAAAGGTCTTTGTATTGTCCCCGTTCAGCGGTTACTGTTACCGCCGCAGTATTGGGGACTCTTCTCTTCACCTTTTTCTCCTCCTTCCTTTCTGTTTTAACCACTTTTCTTATTTCCTGCCTTTTCTTTTCTTCTTTCTCTTTCTTCTTCTCTCTCCTACCTATTACTTTGGACCATTTTTCTCCCTGTGGTGTAGGTGCTCTTTCCTTTTCAATTTGCTCCTGATGCTCTCTCCTTTGTTCTCTTGTGGGTGGCAACTGAGGGTACTCCTGCATGTAATTCTTTCCTCCGTGTGGTACCGACTCTTTCTCCATTCCTTTTCCTTTACTTTCTTTGTTGCCCTTCCCGGCCCCTCGTTTGGGAGTTTCCTTCTCCTGCGTTGACCACTTATTTAGGGCTTTAAGCACCATTTTGGATACTTCTTCTTCTAGCCCTTTCTTCGTTGGCTCTTCCTTCTTCCTTTCTAGCCTTACTTTTTTGTTGAGTAGGATATCCTCCCTTATCTTGGGGCCTGCCTCTACTGCCTTTGCGACCCTGGCTTCCTTTATCGGGCGTCTCTTTTCCCTCGGGATCAGACCTTTCTGGACTTCTATTACCTCAACTGGTATCTCCTCCTCCTCCATCATGTCCACCATAGGTGGGGTGATCGCCCTTTCCTTCTCTACGCGGACCAGAGGCGAGGGAGCACCCGCCATGTGTTGTTGTGCTTTCTTTACACTCTGGTCCGCGTTTCCTGGCTGCTTCGAGGGCGGGGAGGATACCGCTACTTGCAGCGGTGCCTCCCTTATACCTCGAAGCATTTCCTTTACCTCCTCTAGTTCTTTCCTGACCTCGTTCAGCGACGTCTTCAGACCTACATTTTCCGTCCGCAGTTCTTCTATTAGGTCCAAATTGCCTCCGCATTTGTTCTGTGCCATTTGCATGGCCAGGACATTTGCTCCTGCTGTTATTGCTGCAGCAGCGTCCCTGAGGACCTTTACATGGGTTCCCTTTAGGCTTTTCGAATTCTGCGAAAAACCGAGGACTTTGGCAGACGCTTCCAGAATTGTCGCTGTTATGTCACGGAAGGGAGCCTCCTCCAGGTGTTCAGTTAGCCTTTTAATCTCCGCCTTGTATTTCCTGTTGGAGGTGCAATCTTGAAACTCCTCCATAGGATTCTCTAATCCTTTCAGAAGAGTTTCCTCTCTTTTTTGCTCCATTATGGCAAGTTTCCTTGTCATAAACTCCTTCTTGAGGCGGTATCCCCCTGTCGTTTCTGGCCTGCCCCTGCCTCTGGTGACCTTCTCTACTAGACGCTCCTCGTCCGTATTGCCATCCTCGTCTCTGGGGATTTCCCATTTCCCTTCCTTTTTTATGGTGACTTCATCACCGTCATCGGAATCCTCCTCCTTTGAGGTGGCGAATGGCGTTGAGTCGTCGACCTTGATGGGCGATCGAGATCTGTCGCTATTGTCGGTCTCATCCGCCTTCTTCGTCTCTAGGAGCCTTGTGCTCCTGAGTCCCTCCCTCCTAACCGTTACCTGGCTTTTGCCAGGTCGGCTTCTCGTGTCCTTTGATTTTGCCTGGGTCGTCTTAATTATTTCCGAATCCGATGTATCATAGATTGAGGAGGTTAAAAAATCAGTCATCTTGGTTTGAACCCCACAACTCTGCACGGCTCCGGTGCCCGGGCATGCCCGCATCCCCCCGGAAAGGGGGAGCCTCCGAGTTCCCCCGGAGGAGCACCATATGGCACGGGCCGACGGAATGTATCATCGTCGGCACTGGCCTCCCGCCCCCTACACGCGCCCTGACCACCATTTCTGGTGGCCAGACCGCTTTCGGGGGTCCCACACCTCCGACAATGTGGGCACCGTGCAGAGCGCCGCCACGCGGGGGGCCGCATGGAAGGAGATAGTTCACCGGTGTCGCACCCCACCGGGAACGTCTCCCCCATGGCAGCCAGCGTGCTCGCGCCGCCCGAGGGTCCGCTTTAGGGTGATGCGATCGCATTCCCTCGGGCACAGCACACAGGGGCTCCGGCCCCGCCTCGGAATACGTCCGAGCGGCCCGGAGCACCCCTCCACCCCCCGGGTACCGTGAGGGGTTCCAAACCCTCACGGTGTGTAGACCCGGGTGTGGGTACCTCTCTCCGCCTGGCCGTGGCCAGGACGGATGAGGGAGAGGATCGTTCCCTTTGGCTGCCGGAGCACCGGCGTGCAATGCCTCCGGAAATGAGTCCTCTGGTTGGCGCATGAGGGTGTCTCGACCCCGACCTCGGAATACGTCCGAGCGGCCCGAGACACCCCTCCGCCCCCCGGGTACCATGGGGCAAGCCCCGTGGTGTGCAGACCCGGGTGTGGGTTCCTCTGTCCGTTCGACCGGGGCCGAACGGGTGAGGGAAATCGGGGAGTCCACCTTCGAGACGAAGGTGGGGTCCTCTCCCCTCGTCACCCTAGGGTGCCCCGACCCCGACCTCGGAATAAGTCCGAGCGGCCCGGGACATCCCCTCCACCCCCCAGGTACCGTGGGAATATTCCCACGGTGTGCAGACCCGGGTGTGGGATCCTTCATTCGCCCAGCCGTGGCTGGGACGAGCGAGGGAGAGAGGTCCTCCCCTCTTCGGCTGCCGGAGCACCGGCGTGCAATGCCTCGGAGGGTGGGATCTCTCAGGACGCGGTAGGGTACCCCGACCCCGACCTCGGAAACGTCCGAGCGGCCCGGAGTACCCCTCCGCATCTCAGGCACCACGGGGGAGGAGGATCCCCATGGGGTGGAGCCCTGGATGCGGGTACGTCCCTCCGCCCCGGTCTAACCGTAACGGTCCAACCGAGGCGGGAGGAAAGGGTTCTCTCTCTTCGGCTGCCGGAACACCGGCGTGCAATGCCTCGGAGAGAGAGGTCCCCTTCCTGGAGCGAGTGTGGAGGAGGTCATCCCTGTCGGCTGCCGGAGCACCGGCGTGCAATGCCTTCAGGGGTGATGATCTCCTCCCACCCGCTCTGTGACCATGCTGGTCATGGACCAGGCTGGTCACTCAGCCCGGTCGGGTGCTCTTGGTCCAGTCCCTCCGTACAGACCACTCCGGCATGGTAGAACCTGCCAGGGGCCGAAACTCCCGCCGGTACAGCTCTGTACATCATCAGGACCTTCAAGCCTCCCCACCACGTCAAGGTGGCACCCACGGGGAGGCGCTGAGTCAGCATGACGTAACACATCCAAGTAAACACGAACTAAAAGTCACATTCCAACCAACACAATATTACATATAACGTATACGTTAGTTGAGAATCAAAAATTATTTCTTTTAACCAAGACATATTTCAATCATTTCTTATTTCTTATACTTCAATTTATGAATTTAATAAACTTCAATGACATTTTTTACTTTATAAAATCACGTTAGGATAAAAGATATATGATCGATATCTAAATTCGAAAGAGAAGAAAAAAAGAAAGAGAAAGGGAGAGGTGATAAAACATATAAAGAAAAAGAACGGGATTAAGGAAAGAAAAATATGTATTTGATATATTAAAATTTATACTACCTGTATTAGCATCGCTTTATATAGACTTAACTCTAGGTAGATATATAACCTTAGAAGGTTAAAAGTCATTTTTTGTCTCTAATTATTTAGTAAAGACATTAATCACTTCAAATGCAATTGTAACAGTAATAAAATTATATTTCTTAGGTAACAGTAATAAATATAATTGAAACTTTGGTGGTTAATTTGTGATATATGTGAAATACATGTGCATGTGATAAGCGACATTGAACTGTCAAGAAAAGTATCTTTAAAATTTAATGAAAACAATACCAACTCAGTACTTTCTATAATAATTCTTTACTTTTTAAATAACAATAATGTTAACAAGTATAGTTTTCCAGAATTAGTAGTGGTAGTAGTAAGTTTTTCAAGAAATAATGAGTAACCATTGCGTAGTCCTCTTAGGTTAGGAGGTTATAAGTTATTTTTAATGTTATTTTTTCATAAGTTAATCACAAAATTTTTAGTTATCAAAAGACACGATCGTGTCTCGCACCAAGTACACGCGAAAAAAACTCGCGCGCAGGAATCGCGAAGCGGTCAGGCGAAAGTTATATCATCTAAAAGTTATAATACTTACACAGTCGAGTTATATATTTTAATACCATCAAATAAAAAAAGAATAGAATAAAAACGTTATTGATAATAATATAAAAAAAATGAGAATAAAAACATTCAATAATTAAAATTAATATATTAATAATATAAGGAATAATGAACAGTTAACCATGATCAGATTTTAGCACATTTTATTTTTAATATTTCTACATCTTAATATTTTTTAACATATATATAGGTAACAAATAATTCCTAAAATTTTTTAAATATAACATTTTTTAAAACATGCTTTGAATATTGATAATTCTTCGAATATTATTAAGCAATTCTCTTGTTATTCTTGCTCTGTAAGAGAGAAATATTTTAAATTATTATTATTGTTGTTGTTATTATTTTAACAGAATTTACTTCTTGAGACAAATCATTGTTCTGATCTTCTCTTTTGAGGATTTTTATTCACCTTGATCACCTTGATAAGACAAATATTCGTCCTTCCAATTTTTGAATGTGGTCTAAATAGTTAACTTCTAAATATGGTGGATCAACTGGAAAAGTTAGATAATTGTTTTTTAAACTGATATACAGGGTATTCCGTTACAAAACCGACAAATGTTGCCAATGTGTTCGAATGATTATTTTAAGTAGAATAAGTTCATATTCATCAACACCATAACATGATTCGGTTTCATTCCCAAGATATAAACATTTTATTGTACAAAGCCTAATCAGTTCTGATTTACAACAGATGCTTTAAATTCTAAGTTATAGGAAATTGATTAATTACGATCCATTATTTTTTTCATATTCAACTGTGGTTAATCAATTTATTACGGCTTAAGGCTTAAAGCACTTATTATAGACTGAAACTAAAATATCAGGTGTAGTAAAAAGAAATCCATTATTTTTGCATGAAATTGAAGGCTTTAATTACCATAGTTAGAATGATCCGATTTAGGTCAAATATGCGCCGTTTTGTTCGATAACTTGTTGCCATTTTGAAGGTAATTTCATTATGCCTCTCTCATAGAAGCCCTCGTCCCTATTGGCAGAAAATTGAGACAGTCGATTTTCACAAGCCTCTCTTGAAGCGAATTTTTCACCAGCAAAATTGTTCGCCATGGACAGGAACAGATGGTAATCACTTGGTGCCAGGTCCGGACTATAAGGTGGATGCATAAGAACCTCCCAACCAAGCTCCAGGAGCTTCTGGCGAGTCACTATCGATGTGTGTGGCCTGGCGTTGTCCTGATGGAACACAATTCCTCCCCTATTGGCTAAAGCTGGCCGCTTCTGGGCGATTGCTTCCTTCAGACGGTTCAATTGTTGACAGTACAGTTTCGAGTTAAGAGTTTTGCCGTAGGGGAGCAGCTCATAGTAGATAATTCCCTGCCAATCCCACCAAACACACAGCAAAACCTTCCTGGCCGTCAATCCTGGCTTGGCCACCGTTTCCACCGGTTCACCGCGATTCGACCACGACCGTTTTCGCTTGACGTTGTCGTAAGTGATCCACTTTTCAGCACCAGTGACCAACCGCTTCAGAAATGGGTCGGTTTTGTTGCGATTCAGCAGCGATTCGCAGATGGAAATTCGGTCCATGAGGTTTTTTGCGTTAACTCGTGTGGCACCCATACATTGAGCTTCGTTTTGTATCCAGCCTTATTTAAATGGTTCCAAACGATTTTTTGTGCAATCTTTAGCTCTTGGGCAATCGAAACAGTGCTTACATGACGGTCGGACTCGACAATGTCCATGATTTTATCGATATTTTCGATTGGCCTTCCAGTGCGTGATGCATCTTTGACATCGAAATTACCGGAACGGAATCGACAAAACCAAAATTGCGCGTGATTGGCTGTTACAGTATCGGGACTATAAACACTATTCACATTTTCAGCCACCTGGCTTGCGTTTTCGCCTTTATCGAAGAAGAAACTGTAAAATATAGCGTATTTTCTCTTTGCTAGTGTCTATCTTTGACGCATGCTCAAACAAAACTGTCAGAAAAGTTTTTTTTAGTACGAAATCTCATCTTTCTAACGCCATCTAGTGGAACCCGATCGGACTTATACAACACGAGATATAGATAACTAAATCCATCTATTGGAAAAATAATGGATTTCTTTTTACTACACCTAATATGTATCAGACTATAGATTGAGATAGAGGTTGGATATGAACTTAAACATTCCAAATAAAGAAAAAAAAACTTTATTTTGCTCATATCTTGAGAACTGAACTGAATCGACCCATGGTATATATGAAGTTTTTAGCTTAAAATGATCATTCGAAAATGTTGGTAATGTTTGTTGGTTTCGTGATGTAATACCTTTTATTTTTGTATTTATAAAAATATTTTGATTATATTAAATGGGTTATTCATATTTATAAGAATGTAAGTATTTATACCTTTATTCCTTATATTACCAATTAATCGCACTTTATCAGCTTTGTTGATACTCATGATGGAACAATTTTCCTCAATAAAATTTATAATATGGATTTCCAATTTATATGTTTCATTGGTTATTGATCCATATCCA